ACCTCAGCCCTTTTGTGCCACAGCGTCGTGAACCCGGTATGGATCTACCAACAGGTGTAACCCATGCGTCGAGGCAAGCTTTGCCCTGAGCCTCACGTTCCTACCAATCATGAGTCGCGGCGACTGCTTCTCACATGCCTGTAGAGCAGAGTTGTCAGTTGGTTGGTCGGACTCAATCCTGCGTTTCTACGTTGTGAACTGGATTGTCCTACCACAGGCCGAGGACGACAAGATGAGATTGTCAGCCAACCGCGACGATGGTGTTTGGTGTTTGTTTTTTTTTCCACTTGCTGCCGCTAATTCGTTAGTCTCGCCGCATCTCTGAGACGCCCGCTCGACTGATTGATTCATGAGCTGGTCTTCGGACAGTTTAGCTCGCGCCAACATGAGGATGCTTGCGTCCTTCCTTATACATTACGCGCTGCCAGCTTGTGACGAGTCAAACCAAGGCTTGGCTCGCGCTTAGAGTCCACAACGATCGGGGCATGTTCTTCATCATAATGGCCATCGATCCCAGGATTCCGGTCGCCTTTAATTGCGTGAGTAGGGCGCACTAGATACTGTGCCTTACCGGCCCTGCGTGCGAGGGTAGCGCGTCTTGCATCGACAGGGTTTAGCCCGTTGAGGCTGACTATGACGGGCCCTGCAGGTGACTTGCGGATGCGTACACTAGTGTACCGAACTCACCAACTCTCCACTTGAATCCACATCCTCTTGGGCTTTGTCATTTTGGCGCTGTACTTTTGGATCGGCTCCTTTCTATCGGTACCTGCAGTAACATGTGTGCCGTCTGTTCGCGATATGGCCATCCATGGTCATGGACCTCGGGAGGATGTGTTCATATAATGGCCAGGTAGTCCATGTGAAGGCCGTCATTGTCCTTCCCATCCTCCCGTCTCTCCCTCCTTCGTCTGCCAACTCCTGAGCTAAGACGAAACGGTACTGAATAAGCCGTCATCCCACTTGCCCGTGAATTTATTGAGCCGAGCTAAGCCTAGGACTTTAACTTTGGGGGCTCAGTCGATTGTTTCTTTCTCAGCTAAGATTACATTCCGTCGTCGTCGAGTGTTGGTAGTCACCTGGTCCACCCGTACCGCTTTACGGCGATAAATGGTCAGCTTCAACGCGTGTGCGTGGGTGTGGTAATTGGCCAGTCCTAGCCCGCAAATCGACCACTACCTTCCTTCGACCACAGGCTTACTTCCGTCCCGTATCCATTCTCTCCACGTAGGTCTAACGTCTCTTGCGAGTCGTTGTAACACCTCCTTTCACGCGGGCCAAAACCCCTCACTCGGCCGCCTCCAAGACCTGGATCGACATAAAGCCTGGCTCATCGTCCCCGGCCCGTGTTAAGGTTCTCACCACCCCCAGGCCTCACAGCATTATACCAGTTTCCCGAAGCAGAAAGATGCCCGTTTACCATCTGCCTGTGCAACGAACCGATAGTGTCAGTAGTTCGAGGTATTACTCTCAAGGTCCGGCCCGAGTCTCGCTCAGTTTAGCCACCGCCCTCGTGGGACCCATAGCGTTACTGGTGTTGGTTGTATCTTTCATCAGAAACTATAAGATATCGTCACGTTCCGCTCTGGTTGGATTGCGCGCTGTGACAACTCCAGAAGAGTCACCTTTTCCCTCAAAGCAGTTACGTGAACTCAAAACAAGAACGATGAGCAAGTCGACGAGTGGAGAGCGAGATCTCTTCCCCCTGTGTGCTCGAGGAAGCCCACATGAAGAGGACCGGGGTGACAGGGGTGATTTATCATCCAGCCCTAGCATCAGAAAAGAGGGCCAGGATGAGTCGGCGGTGATGAATGCCGATCCAAATGAGCCACAATATTTAAAGGGCCGACCTCCACCAGCTACGCCGCTCACGCCACCTGTGCTATCTACCACCTTCTTCTCCTTCCAGGATCGGCGGCCAAGCATGGCGGCATCTGTTCATGGCGATTTTGATTCGAGTCTTACTCAGCGGCCCGACTCTGATGTCTATTTGTCCGAATCTACGGCGACGTTGAGCTCGAACACACAAAGCTCATTGTCCAATTCATTCCCGAAGAAACCCTATCCTAGGATACTCCCGCTGGATTCGCTTCGTCTGAACGCGTCGAGAGACACAGGCACGGAGCAAGTGTCGTTCTCTTCTACATTTGCGCCGAATTCACTTCCATCATCCAATCCGATCTTACCTCTCGCGCCGCACGCGGCGCTGGACCCCAGAGAGATGGAGGCTGCGGGTGAGGCTCTCACCGTGCTGAACGACTCGGGACACGACTGGAAACGACATACACTTGTGTACGGTGGTGGTGTGTGCCTCGCGTGTTTGGCTTCGGGAGGCCATGGCAACGATGGGGGGTTCTACGGCGAAAATGTGCCATTGGACCAGCGACGATAAATACCTAGGCACTGTTCTGAGCCTGGCGTCTTGGGATTTCGGTCGAGATTAATCGCGCAAAGCGCAAGTCCGACACGCACTGTACTGTGCTGTGCTCTGCTCTGCTGTGCTGTGCTGTGCTGTGCTGTGGTGCGCACTCGTCGAAACGCCCTGTCAGTACACTACTGTTACCTACCTACCTTGTGCCGCCGTACCTACTTAAGTAGGAAGTGTCAAGACTAGGGTCAATCTAGTGTGCGCCGAGAGAGGAAGGGATTTGTTGAAAGGCCGTTTATTGGCGAATTAGCTAGCCAGAATTCGGCTGCGCGTTTGCCCGAAAAGAATGCTGGGGGACCCATTCAGCCCTACCTATCCTACGCCTTAACACACGCAGGCGAATCCCGGACGAGTCGAGTTTACCAGGGGGTGTGGGGGGGAGCCGAAATGAAGTTTCAACACCATGAAGGTCCCGCCAGGCGATGGACTACGGACTAGATACGGACCACTTACGGACAACGTAGTACCTACCTACACTACGTACGGTGGTGTACTGGCTACGTATTCTGTACTCGCTTGATTCAGCATTTTGTACCTGCTTTTAAAGCACGTTAAAGCACAAGCAGAACCCGACGATTTCTTCAACTTTTTTTTCTTTTTTCTTTTTTTTTTCTCTTTCCTTGGGCTTACTGGACACAGATAGGCACTTTTAAATTGTATGTCAGTTATGATTTATGAACGATTAACGAAATTTCCAACACCGCATAGGGTAGTTATCAAAAGTTGTTTCCATTCCGCTTGGCCGTGTGTATGTGTGTGTGTGTGTGTGTATGTATGTACACGTAAGTTGGCAATGACAAATCCCGCCAGCTCCCGTCATGTTAGAGTAGGTATCTAGGTAGGTACCTACGGTTGGTATCATGACTATGTACGCTAGATGAGTATTCCCATTCCCATTCCCATTCCACAGTGATGGTCGCCTTAGCAGCGAGTCATCGACGATGCGTCGTCGCATTGAACGTTACATCGGCGAGGTACAGACCTGTAGTCCGTACCAGGCATGTAGATAGTATGTAACTACAGGTAGGTAGTTACCTAAGTAGAGTGTTAGTTAGGTTAGTAGTTGAATATCGCAAACTCTTTGTCCAGGCTATCATCAATGCAGTTCCCTTCTGCCGGCCGGCAGGCGAACCAAATCGCACATTTGTGGCAGAAAACATGGAAGCAACAAAGACAAGGCGTTATCTATCTTAAGTAAAAGACGTAGTCTAGTCTAATTACTCCACTCAGGACCCGCTAGATAGATAGGTATGTACCTTAGTTGGCGAATCGGTATGTGGCCGAATGTATTCACGGGTTGCAGCGATGCAGAGCACCGGGTTGTGGGAATGCGACTCGAGTTTGTTGATGGTTCACGACGGGAGGCGGGGTAGAGTCGGGACACTCACTCACTCACTAGATACTTAATACACCGCATAGGTAATTAAATACCTGGCTGTCGTATGCAAGTTGGCTGCAGCAGTGGAAAGTGCCCTGGCAAAACTGTCCAGCTGGGTTAGCCCGGACAACCGATAACTATTTTGAGAAGTCGGAGATTGGCCACTTTATCGGTGAAATTCGATTGAATGGAATGGGATGGATTCTGTCGACAGTTCTGGCCGTTCGACAACAACGACAACAGGAGTTTGTTATCAAGCGGCTAGATATCTAACCTAGAACAACTAACCTAGGTTGGGGCGCCTGTTCTGGCCAACGGTGATGGTGCAATGTATGTAATGTAATGTATACCTGACAAGTGTACAGAACCAACAACCGCTTACATACATTTGGACCCTGCCTGACCAACTGTTGACGATGTAGGCAGCTAACCTCTAACCTCTATCTGATTATCCCCGTACATACTTGAGGCACGGAGTACCTAGAACTCGTCTTCAAATATCTACTAACGACCGGCCAACACAATGTCTCCCTGTGGAGGGGTAGGACTTGGGGACTTGGGGATTTAGAAACTCGAAAGGCAAACGAAATAGGCCCCACCATGGCGAACCATCAAGCTGGGAGGCGTGGTGCGCCCTAAGTTACCATATGTAATTAGTCCGTAACTACATAGCAGTTCTTGGACCATAGGTTGCTGCCCTAGATGTGATGGATGTGATTGATTGATGATTTCCGCGTCCAGCCCTATCGTCGCACACGGTGGGCTGTAAAAAGGTTTCTTGGCGCGACCCCGGATTTCTGGGCATCAGAAAATAAAATAAAAGATTAAAATTAAAAAATTAAAAAAAATAAGAAAAAAGAGAGATACTTTTTGATTTCGCCCGGACTTGAACCGGAGACCTTCAGTGTGTTAGACTGACGTGATAACCAACTACACCACGAAACCATTTCTGTTGTTCTCTTTGTGTCGCCGTTGTTCGCTTGGATTGGAGGATTCGCCTAACTACGTAACCTAACCTGCCTACCTTAGATAACCAGTCTGTACCACACATACCTACATACATATTTCCAAACCGTGCCTACTGTACAAAGTCTACATCGCCGCACGGTACCGAAGTAGGTAGGCAGTCTGAGTAGGTAGGTAACCCAGCTTCACCGTCAAGAGGCACGACAAAGGAAGCAGCCAACCACAAATGGCAAGGTGGCCGAGTGGTTATGGCGGTAGACTCAAGCGCGAAATCCCCAAAAAAGAGGGGAAAAAAAATGAAGCTTTTCCCTGAATTCATATCAGGTTGAAAGAATTCTACTCTCGAAAGAGGCAGGGGTTCGAATCCCCTTCTTGTCACACACAAACTTGGAATTTCCATCCACTTCGATGGAATTTCTCTTCTTTTTTCTTTTTTTTTTTTTGTTCTTTTCAACTGACATGTATAGATTTTATTAGGTATTTTGTATTTAGGTAGATGATCATGATGTTTGGCGACATCGATCGCCAACGATGAGAATTGAGTGTCTTGTGTTGTCCTGGAAGACAAACTGCGAAGCGCAAACAGGGCATGTACCTAGCGTATGTAGAAATATTGTATGCATGCTCTTAGTCGCGCCAGCACGGGGGGTTAATGTTAATAATGGCATTGATCCGATAATGCGCCCTTAATGAAGCCATCCATCGCGATCTAATACCTATCTACCTGCTAGCTACGACTTTCGCTTCTTCATGGCCGCTTGTCGCGACACTCTCGTGAGATCGACATGGCGCATCTCATTAACCGTTTTGGTCGCAGAAACATCAGAACGGCCAAGAGGAAAAAATAAACAAACTGCTACTATCTAGAGATGCTTTCGCAATCCAGCGATCAAGCCAGGGTATATATCACCTGATGTCTGGTGTACGGCGGAGAAAGTTTAGAATAGCCTCAAGGCAGATCTCTACGGCACGTCGCCTACCTGCCTACTCTACGGTGGAAATATCGATCACCATGGTCCTCCGACTAAGCACCCAACGAGACTCATGGATCCCTATGATTTTCAGGGCTAGAGTTAAGGTCAGGATTATCAAAACATCTCCCCCCCCCCCCCCCAAAAAAAATCCATTACATACCTACTCTACCTGACTTTAAACGCTCACAAGAGACCCAAAAGCCCAAAGGACATTTGCTCCCATCGTCAGAGGATCACGGTATGTTGGGCGTTTTGAGAGAGAGAGAGAGAGAGAGAGAGAGACCAGAGACCAAATCACAGACGCAAACAAACCGGCGGCATTCCAACAATTTCTCTCTCCCACACGGGCTTGTGGTTTAGTGGTATAATACTCCCTTAGCATGGGAGTGGTCCGGGGTTCGATTCCCCGCGAGTCCAACTTGCGAAGGTTCAATTCCTTCTGTACCTCCTTTTTTTTCCCCCTCATTTCATTCTTATTCTTTTACTCTTTTTTTTTTTGTTTTTCGTTTGTCGTTTCCCTTTCCTCTTTTTATTTTTTTTTATTTTTTGCGTTGCGTTGCATTGCGTTGACAATTATATTGAGGCCTGACCGACTTGTCCCGCTCTACTTATCGTCAAGATCTCGCCGGGCGGTAAACCTTTGAGAAAACGCGACCTGCAAGTCCATCTCTTCTCGATCCGCAACTGAGCGGTACGCAAGCAACAGGCTATTCGGCAATCGCAAACTTCAGCTCCAGAACTGTCCCGTATGGACGCAAGATCTCAAAGGCCGGCATTGAATTCAGAGGTTTTTTTTCGCAAACGTCGTGCTTGTTGTCTCGCGATATCGCAATCATTTGCGCAGCGCAGTTCTCGTCGCGTTGGCCTAGGTACTCATATAGTTATCCCGACTTACTTCGGAATTGAGTCAAGGACTGATTCTCTTTCAAGGTAGATTGATACACCCGCTATCTAGACCTCGCGGTAACGCGCACGGATATCTCTGACGAGAAAGGTAGGGAAGGGGGGGGGGACTGGACCTCGAATAATATCAACCGCCAATCTCGAGCGCGTAGCCGCTAACTCTTTGAACTCCCTTGTCCAAAATCCCTGAAAGTAGTATTCAATCTACTTGACCATCTTCCAGAGCTCTGATTTTATACTATGTTCTATCAGTCCCAATTGTTCCGTTTGGTATGGACGTGAGGTAAGATGGAAGATACTTAAGTAATCGAAATAGATACCTAGTCAGAGGCTCACTTCCCATACCGAAACCAACTCCCTTGATTTCAAGAGGGCCATTCGACCAGACTGGGTATGAAAACTGCTATTTGGGCCGTGACAATGTGTTCAAAGTAAGATTGATATAGATCTGGATTCCGTCGCTTCCTGGCTGGCGCGGTCGGCAATCGCCATGATGAAACGGGTTCGGCTACTGACCTTCAACACGACGATTTTCCTTGCTCCGAGCCAATACGTCCCCGCCGTGAAGGTAAATGCACTCCGCGTGGCGAGATTTAGTCCAGTGAGACCGTTTCAACAACTTCATGATCGCCACGACCAGCCGCGAGCAGAGTCGCAAAACATCCCCAAACCTCCCAATGCAAACTCAAAACCGCTCCTTCAACTCCACCCGCCCTTTCCAACAGAAAAAAGGCAAAGCCCGGCCGCTGTGTATCATGATCAAATGATAAATCAAAACAAAACAAATCAAGATCCAAAAGCTGAATAGCCCGTTGCCTCGTAGAGCCCAACAGTGTGGCGAACTTTTTCAAATTTGGACATCCCATCCACGCAAGAAATTCGCACAACCCTCACGAGAAGAAACCCCATCAAGAAAAAAAAAAGAAAAAAAAAAAGATCTAGAAACACAAGAAAAGAAAAAAAGAAGAAGAAAAAGAAAAAAGAAAAAAAGCGGCCGTTACTAACCTTTTATTCTCACGAAAGCATGCCGTGTGACAGGCGACTCCGTCGGTGAGGGTTGCCCCCCATCTTCTCCTCTCTCTCTTCCCCCCCTCTTCTCATCGATGGATAAAGTACAGTCCATGTGTCCAGCTACAACGAAGGCCAAGGCAGACCACAGGACCGGCCGACATGATGCCGTGTCATTCCGATTCTAAGCGGAAGGAAGAGAAAGGTATATGGTTGAGACGAATATCATCTTCCTTTTTTTTTTTTCTTCATTCGGGGGGGAAGTATCGATACGTCTTGTATACCCCCGACGGGAGAAAACGACAATATTGAGGACGGTGGTGTGTCCCATGTGAACTTATTCACACTCCAAGGTTCAATTGATATCTCACAGGTCCCAGCTTCATCACAACTTAACGCCTCAACCTCAAGTGCGGCGGCTGAGCTGACAGTAGACAGTCAGTCAGTCAGTAAGGGTTTGAGAAATGAGTCCTAGACCGGGGATTGGTTCATCTGCCAAAAGGTCCCGCCCCAAAACCCAAAAAAAAGAAAAAAAAAAAAAAAAAAGGTTGAACCCAAGAATCGAACCCTGGCCCTCTCCGATTCATCCGAGTATTCCCCAGACGAAGCGAGAGGATAATGGTAGTTGGGACCAGCCCAAACGACCACTGACCAATTACACCATTGGAGTGGAAAAGGTACCAGAGTCCTTTTCTTGGGTTCGGAATGCGTCCCGGTAGATGGTAATATATAGATCGATAGTTCTTACCTAGGTAGTACCTAGTTTCTTGTACTTTTTGATGTTTATTCCTGCCCCGGTGGTGGTTTTGTCCTTTCCGGATTCTGCCTTGGCTTTGGGCGGGATTTCCTTTGTTCTTGAGGCGGATATGCCGCGGCCCCCTTTTGATTTCTTTTTTTTTCATTTTTTTTTTGTCGGGCATATTTTCAGGCAGATGCTTAATACCCCTGATGCGGCTCGATACCAACTGCATCACGTGTCCAACACACACTGCGGAGACAGTGGTCGCGGAGACAGTGGTCGCGGAGAGGAAGAGCAATAGCAGTGTGCCTGTGCACAGCACAGACTTGAGCTGCGTCAATGACATCAACCTAGGCTAGGCAATTATAGACGGCATGGACGAATACTGTCTCTAGGAACATGAGTGTAAATCCACACATTACGTAGGGTAGGTATTAAGTATAACGAACTAAATACATAATTACTTACTAACTACTCTAGTTAACGAATGGAGGAGAAAGAGAAGGGGAAATGGGCGAGGGTGAGGGTGAGGGTGAGGGGCCAAAACGTGCCTTAGTTGTCCGGGAATATACCACACGTGCAAAACACGCTGTGAGAATTCGGCTGTGCCGTCGTTGCGGGGGACATATATAGAAATAATGTACAGAATGTGCAGAATGTGCAGAATGTGCAGAATGTACGCCAGGGCAGACATGCATAGGGTATCTACCTACTAATAGAGGAGGGTGGCGTACATGGTTGGGTACGACTGACTGATCACCAGTTCCTTCGGACTCCCTCAACAGCACGATGGTCGCAGCAGTATGGGGTAAAAAGAGATGGAATGGAGATGGAATGGCTTCTAGAAGGGTACGGTGAAGGGGGTTCTATCCGTTAAGTGTAAGACATGGGCGACGTGGCATCGACCCGTTTAACCGGCCCAGGGGGGGCGGGGGGAACGAATGAGCGGGCAGAGGGGCAGAGAGACAGAGAGACAGAGGGGAAGAGGGGCAGAGGGGCAAAGCCGACGATTGCGAATGGCACCACGTCGCCACTCTCGTCGACATAGATAGAAGTAGTGTGGGTGTATCTGGCCAATCGATGTCGAGCACTCTCGATGTATGCGGTATTGAGTGCATTTACAGTCTGTACCATGAGATGCCGATTTCACGCTTCACCTAGACTACACGTTTAGCCCACCACCTATTACGTATGTGTCGCATTGCGAAGTGTGGAATACTTAGGTAGATATAGAACCGAAATGGTCGTGTAGATAATGGTGTATGTACATGCCTAGATAGTGATGTTGATAGCGGTGTGGCAAGTGGTGTGGCAAGTGGTGTGTGGTGATGAGCGTGTGGTGAGAAGGTGGGGGAATGAGGGAAAAAAAAAAGAAAAGAAGAAAAGCAAAAAGGAGGAGCATGGCGGGCGCTTAACCACGAATCAGGGACGAGTATACTAAGCGCCGTTGAGGGAAAAAAAAAGAAAAGAATTGCGTGCCTGCCTCAGGCTTTGGCTTCTGCTTTTTTGCAATGCATGCGTCTTGCAGATCCTGCATTCGTGCGACACACCCTAGAGGGGGTATCGGGGCTGTCGGGGTATCTGAGGAAGGGGCCGACCGGCGCATTTCACTTGAGTCCTTTGCCGATTAGTGTGCAGATTGTAAGTGCCTAGATAGATACACTCCCTTACACTCCAGTCCCGTCCAGTCCCGTTCGATGGTCAGCCGTCGCCATTTTTGACTTCTTGGAAGTTGGAAGTTGGGGGTCGACTTG